CAAGCAAAAAGGTTTATCATAAAATTTTATCCAGGTATCACCTGGGCACAAAATTATAACTAATATATAAAGCGGAACTTTTAGCTTTGCCATGAGACAACGACGCGACACTTGGCATTTTAACTTTTTGCCAAGTGTCGAGCCACATAGGTGCCATATAAGGATAATTATTTTGACACATACGACTTATTTGAATATATTTTTTAATAAAAAAATTGGATAGATTTTGTATGATAAAAAAGTTAGTTTATAGTTTTAATTTCAATAAAATTTGGATAGAATTTAGGATAAAATTATTGGTTTAAAGTTTTATTTTCGATAAAATACCAATATTATAAATTAAATAAAATTTTATTCAAATTAATAATTAGATTATAACTCTCTATGATTATCCTAAATTTTTTTTTTATCATAATATTTGTGATAAAGAATACTTCAAAATTTCCTTATAAAAAAAGAATACTTCAAAATAAATCTATTTATGATATATTTTGTTAATTGACATAAAAAATAAGTTAGTCATTAATAAATATATAAAGTTGTAAGATTAATCAAAGTCACGCGATATAACAAAACTTAAGCGGTTCGATTAGCCAGCAGGTCGAGGACGAGATATGGCATTCCAACTTTTCGTAAGTGTGGTGCATGCAGGTAACAAATAACCATTATTGACACATATGATTTATTTGGATAGATAAAAAGTTTATATTAATGATATGTTTTAAAATTTAGCATATAGATAAAAAAAAAAAAAAAAAAAAAAAAAAAAAAAAAAAAAAAACTTAAAATTTAATAAACAACCCGGGCATCGCACGGGGCACGAAACTAGTATATATGTAAAGGAGAAATGTTTTTCCCAATATTTTAGTGTGCCACCTAGGATTTTTATTTTTAAAAAATTATTAGAGCGTCATGTAAGATTAGTATTTTTTAGATCGTTTACTTATAGGATTATGCCACATAGGATTGTTATTTTAAAGCGCCACATAAGATTAAAATTAAAAATTTTAATAATTAAAAATTTTAATTTATTATAAAATTAAAATACTATCTTTTTAAATTGGAATTTTATCTAAGAGAAAAGAAACAATTTATTTTACTTCGTATATATAAAAAAAATACTATTAAACTTAAAAAAAATGATATTCACGTTCAATTGATATTTAAAAACAACTGGATTAGATAAAAAAAAATAATGATATGACAAGTGATTATAATAAAATATTTTATAAAAAAATATACTAATAAAAAAAATGAAATCACGTTAAATTATATGAAGGGGAGTTTTTTCCCAAGATTTTAGAGAGCCACCTAAAATTTTGATTTTTAAAAAATTATTAGAGCACCATGTAGGATTAGTATTTTTAGAGCGTTACGTATAGGATTATGCCACGTAGGATTGTTATTTTAAAGCACCACGTAAAATTAAAATTAAAAATTTAAATTTATTATAAAAATAAAATACTATCTTTTTAAATTGGGAATTTTATCTAAGAGAACAGAACAACTTATTTTTTTCGTATGTATAAGAAAATACTATTAAACTTATTGCAAAAAAAATGGAATTCACATTCAACTGATATTTAAAAAATATTGGATTAGATAAAAAAAATAATGAAAATATGACAAGTGATTATAATAAAATATTTTATAAAATATACTATAAAAAAATGAAATCACGTTTAATTAAAAAAAAAAATCAGTCTTCTCTCAAAAAAAAAAACATTGAATTAAAAATATATCCTCTCTTTTTCTAGAAAAAAAACATGTTCATAATTTGTCATTTATTCGTTTTAAAGATTAAGTTTTACATTAACAAAATAAAATTGGCGAATGAAATTTTAAAGTTTAATCTAATAAATATAAAATATTATCTTTTGATATTAGGAATTTCATCTAAATATATAACGAATGAGAGAAAATTCATAATTTATTTTAAAATAAATAAAATAAAAATATGAAATGATAATATGATATACTACGTACAATGAATAAATAAAGTAACAGAATTTATCACAAACATAGGAAAAAAAAATATAAGTTATACAAAAATACAAACAAACCGTGCATCGTACAGGCTTCATCTAATTGAATATATTAATAAAGTATCTCTAATAATAAAGTGAAAAAGATTAAGTACTTAGCAAATTTAAATGATTGAATCAACATTTTTTTTACTACTACTTGAATTGATTTTAAAGAGGCTACTATATGATTCTGATTATCTCAGCTCTTTTTTATACATCCATTCTTTAATTCTCTATTATGATGATTTTATACTGTGTAAAACATTAGAGGATGATCATGTCCAAGCAAGCATAATATATACATTATTTGTTTCTCAAATTATGCAACAAGTTCAATTTAAATTAGTGTATAATAATAAAAAAATTTAAAAAAAAAAAAAAAAAAAACCAACGCATTGCAAGTTCAATTTTGTTGGCTTACATATTGCTTTTGTTTGCTGATTTCATCCTTTTGTTGGCTGATATACTTCATTTGTTAGCTGATATGTTCCTTCTGATGGCTGATATATATCTTTTGTTGGCTGATATGTTCCTTTTGTTGGCTGATACATTTTTTTATTAATGTCTGATATGTTCTTAATATTGACTTATATTTGATGTCTGATATGTTCCTTTTATTGGCTAATATGTGTATTTTGTTGGCTGATCCACATAATTAACCATTTCATCTAACAAAAAAATTAGATATATTATACAAGAATATAAAAAAGAAAAGTAACACAAATTCAAAATGTAACATAATACGCATCTCCTAAATCGACCACCATAACCACCGTCACAACCGATGTTGCCCACACAACCCCAACAATCGCGCCATTTGCACCACCCACCTGCGAGCTCAGCCCCAACTCTCACCAACAACCGCATCACCAACTCCTCTACCTGCAGCCACCTAGCAGCAGCCGCCGACTCCAACACCAATTTGGCCCTCAAGCAACCGCATATCGCAGAAATCAACCCCAAATCGCAGACTCTCGATTGTTTAACGCTCCAATTTGGATTCAATTATCAAATTTTGAGGGATTTTGAGCTTCATTTTTGTCACCGTCATTATCATCGCTCGTCATCGGAGTCGGAGTCGTTGTTGGTTGATGCTTTAGTTACTGTATCATCGACGATATGGTATCTCACCGCACGAAACATTGGATGCGAAATGTCGCACCCAATAGTTTGTGAATTAATTAATGCAATATCCACTCATTAGAGGTATTGAGTGAGACATGTAACACCAAAATCTTAGTGTGACGGTTGAAAATTTGAGACACAAACCCCACATTTAGACAGATAAACCCCTTAAGATGACAATTAAACTTTTATTCTTCTTATGTGAAAGAACCCTACAAAATGATACTCAAAGTTTAATAAATTGCCAAAAGATTGAAACCTAGAATCCAAGCCTCGAATCCTGAAATATGAGATCCAAACAACACCAGAATTCAGCCTTGAAACCCATAATTTGAGACATGAACCCCAAACTTGAGAATACTCCAAAAACTAACAGGTAGTAAAATGATACACCCTATGGGCCTACCCCATCCTCAAATAATTCTCTTGGTTTAGGTAGTGATTACTAACCAGTGATGCAAATATACATATATATATATATATTTATTTAATTTTTTTTTTCTTCCTTCCAAAAGTTAAAGGTATTAGCCTTTGAAGGATAAGGTTTTGATCGATATACTTTCTACATTCTTAATTAGGTTAACAAAAATTATCTACTATGTATTATGCATTACTAAATCCTCATACTTCAAATATATATATTTTCACAACTAACAACTACTTGACAAACTAAGGCCTCGTTTGGTTGATGTAGAAAATAAGTTCCCATGGGAAATTCTAATTTATGGGAAATCACTTCCTTTAGAAAAATTCCTAGGAATTAAACAAATGTGTTTGGTTTTCATGCGGGAATTTGTACATACTAGGAATTTTGAATGACCAAGGGCGGGGTGGGTAAATAAATTCCCATGTTTTGTGGGAAGTTGAAATTTCCATGAATTGGGACTTCCTTCATTTTTGCTTTTTAATGTCAACCAAACATGACTAAAAGGAAATTTATGGAAATTTTGAGTGCCTATGGAATTGAAGGTAACCAAACAACACCTAAGAGTTAGTCCATCAACTAACCAACAGCTACTTACATTGACCTTGTTCAATAGTATATAGTTGTACGAGTAGTTGTCAGTGGTAGGATTAACTTTTATATATAGTGTTCTCTTCACCTGAAACAAGGAGATGTGGTATGATTTTCATAAGGTCTGATCTGAATTTTTATTATCTGATCTGATTAAATAATTTGACTATATTTTGACCGCATTTTAATACTAATTTATAAAGAAAAACATCATCAAAATGGATTTTGTTGGATTCGTTTCATTATGAACTTTTTAAATATGTAATTTTCAAAAATTTTTGTAATATACAATTAACGATATTTCGCAATAAGTAAATGATATTTTAAATTATGATCTGGTCTGATCTGAATGTTTTTTATTTGAGTGATCTGATCTGAATTTATTAAGCAATAAGTAATAAGTAGCTGATATAAGTAGAAGAAAACATGTCCTAGTAGCTATGGGAGTAGCTGATAGTATTCGGAGTAGCTATTATAATTAACTTTTACATAACTATTAGTTGTGAAAATATATAAGTAAAGATAATTATATGTAGCAAATCCTAAAATTAAACTTCCCTAATAAAAATAATAGTGATTGACTGATCTTGTAGGGGAAGGCCCACTAAATCATACACGCACTTATTTTTAATTAGATAAGGATTATATTAAATAAGTTTATAAGATAAAGTATAATTGTATAAACCAAAGTCGTAAGTTAAAGCAAACATTTTATTTGTCCAGAATAACCCAGCAAAGCAAGCACATGATAAACCCTTAATTTAATTATAATTGCCTTTCCCTATATATAAGTTTAGACCTACTACTTACATTTCACGTACTTGTACAATTGTACTAACTCATTTCTTTCTCTCTCTATTTTTGTAGCCTTAAGGAGAGTTACGTTAATAACTTTGTATTTCCATCAACAAAGGCTTAGCCTCATCAAGAAATTACGCGATTTTAGAAATGGGTTCGAATGATGGTTCACACGCTGTTGAATCCAATCCCTTGGCAAAAACGTCGTGCAAAAGCTTATTTGTAACGCAAATTATACTTAGGAGCTTAGCATCAATGTCTGCTATAGCTTCTATATGTTTTATGGTTAATAGTGGCCAATCTACCGAGGTTTTTGGTATCATAATACAAGCCAAGTACAACTACGCTTCAGCGTTCAAGTAATGTTTTATTCCATTCTAATTTTGTTGAAATTGATAACTAATTAAAGTTAATTAATAATGTTATTTATGTGTGATAATTATAATTATAAGTAGTTAGTTGACCATATTCTTGCGATAAACATGCAGGTTCTTGCTTGGTACAAATATCGTCATATGTGCATATTTAGTGCTTTCAATAATCACTATATGTGCATTCTATGCACTAAAAACCAATTGGAAGGCCTACTTTTCTTTATTTCTCCAGGATTTGGTAAGTAGCTTATACTACAGCTGTTCTTAAGCAATTGGCCTATTACGTAAATGATTGTTTATTATGGTCAATCACAGAATTTTAGCTTTAATAATACCATACCTCTATATATTTATACCTGACCTCTTTCACAAAGAAGGTACATTCTCTGTATCTATACTTTATGGATTAGTTCTCTTATATTGATCACAACGATGGACGATATGGTCTTCAAGACATGACTTAACCATGAAACGTTATCTTTAACAAAAAATTCATACCATAATAATTACTCTGTATAAAACAGCTAATATTATGAAAAGTTACGTTAAACGATATCTATCAATACTTATTTTTTTTACAGAAATATCTATTAATATTTAGGGTAATACTATATGTAGCCATATAAGCATTAAATACACTCTTGAAAATTGTATAAAATTAGAAATTTATGACAAAAACACGCGTAAATTAGTGTAATTAGTGTTTATATTTTTTTATTTCCTAAATTTATACTACCTCCGTTTCATATTTTTTGCAACTTTGGGGTATTATTTGCAACTTTTCATATAAGCAATAATACCCCTAAAGTTGCAAAAAATATAAAATGGAGGTAGTACAATTTTCTAGTGTGTATTTTATAGTTATATGTAGTTCTAAGGGCTTTGTATAACATTTTCTTAATTTTTAAACATGATTTAAATTTTAATATATATTGGTTTAAATGTGGTCAAAGTTTATTATCATAAAATTATGTCCAAAAGTTTACTACTTTACTAATTAAAGCAACTGTTTTGACTTTTTACTATGCTCATATTAAGTTTGATTTCAAATCTGAGCGATCAGATGTAATGTTGAATTATTATTATTATTTCTTTTAATATGGTAAGATGGTGGGTGCCCTTTCTATCACAAGAGAGATGGGGTGAGAATCGAACCCTGGTCACACCGGGGAAAGATGGAGGAGGGACTGACCATCCTACCACTTTTTGACCCTTTGTTGTAAAAGTTTGATTATTCTCAATACACATTAAAAAATATACTTCCTTTGTTCTGTAAATATTGCAACAAGGATGAAATTACGCATTCCAAAACACATTTACATGTTAAATATCTATAATTATATAAGATGAAAAATTATATCGATATTTTCATCATATACCCCTGATTTTTTTGTTTATTCACCAAATACCCCTAAACTTTTTAAAATTCATCATATATCCCCGAATTTTCACAAAAATACATCATATACCCTTGATGCCTAATGATTGTTAACTTCGTCAGTTAGTAGGGTTAATTATGACCTGAAACCACCCTAAATACATTCTCCTGCCTCCGAAACCACCCATATTCCTTTTATCCACCCCTAAAACCACTCCAAATTTCCTTTTCACATCGTCAAAATCAATCATATGGATATGGTTATGGAGATTTGGAGTGGTTTCGGGGGTTGGAAAAAGGAAAGAAGTGGTTTCGGGGGTTGGAAAAAGGAAAGGAGTGGTTTCAGGGATGAGGGGAGAGATCTAAAGTGGTTTCGATGCATAATTAACCAAATTCCACTCATCTTGTTGTCATTAAGGGTATATGGTGAATTTTTGTAACAACTCAGTGATATATGGTAAATTTGAAAATTTTCAAGGGTTTATGGTGAATAAACAAAAACTTTAGGGGTATATGGTGAAAAACTCGAAATTATAAAAAGTTGATATTGTGAAAGTATTTTATGAGATGAATCTAACAAGACCCCAAATAACTATATTTTACTTAAAATATAAATCATAATATGTGGTCAAACAAGCGTTATGAATTGTGTAAAAGTCTAGTTATTGCAATATTACTAGAACGGAGGAAGTACGAAGTAATTAAAAATAGAGAAAATGCAAGTTTATCACCTTGTGATAAAATAATAAATAAATCAACAGCTTTTTAGTAAATATGAAACCCACATTTGTTGATATTAGTAAAAAATGTCATGTTAATTGGATATTTTTGTTAAATTATTTACGGCTTTGTCACTTGACAAACGAATTTTGTTTATTAAGGTGAAAAAATGAGGCTCCTTCAAATTTACGTGTTGAAAAGCTTAAAGATTAAAGGTTGTCTCTTATTTTTATAATTTTTTTTTATTTTTTATTATTTATATATTTTAATTTATTTTGCAGATAGCTCTGGTGTTAATGATGTCCGGGTGTGCAGCAGCAACAGCAATTGGATATGTAGGGAAATATGGGCAAGACCAAACAGGATGGTCAAAGCTATGCGACAATGCCAAAAAATTTTGCAATTATATTGCCATTTCTATTGCCTTGTCAGATTTCACTTTCATTTGCCTCTTTGTTCTCACTATCATGGCCTTCAAACGAGCTCAACTCAAATCCTAGATAACTTAGAAATGACGATATTGTTGCCTCTTTGTTCTCACTATCATGGCTTTCATTTTTAATTGTATTTTTTTTTTTTCCGTTTCAATATGCTATGTGCATGTTCAAAGAGATAAGATTTGTAATTCATGTAAATGAATCGTGTAAGAAATTGATTGTAATTTTCAACTGATTATATATGTATTTGTATGTATGTGTTTACTATATACTTGGGTCTGTATACATTCAAATCTGTCTCGTTTAGAAGGCGTAAACATTTGTGTGTATGTGTTTACTATATACTTGGGTGTGTGTACATTCAAATCTATGTCTCGTTTAAAGGTGTAAAAATTTAATTTAACTTGAATAATATTGATATATTTTGGTGTCACACAAGTTTTTATTAAGGTGTTAAACGTCGCTCGCAAATACTACCCATTGCTCGTATTTTTTTCATGAAATTCCATTTTTGCCCCCCCGTGTATAAATACTCACGACACTTATAACACATTTCACGCTCATACTTCTCTCTCTAAAAATTGAAATTCTCTTCCAAAAATAAAAAAAAAAAAACAGAAAATTTGGGGAAAAAAAATCTGAAAATTCAAGAAAAAAAAACAGAAAATATAAAAGAAAAAGACCAACAACCACCACCAATCCAAGGAGGGTAATCCAACGGCGGATTGGAGGCGAATAAGGCTCACTTTCAGCGGTCGTGGCGGCAGCATGGGAGGCGGCGAACAGGTATGGCTGAACAACACCCATTTCCTGTGGTTTTCGTTACGTTGTGGAAAAAAAAAAATTCTGGAAAATTTGGGACATTCGCCTGAAATTTCCGGATGTTCCTTGGGACATCCGGAAATTTCAGGTAGATGTTCCTGAATTCCGATTTTTTTTTTTTTTTTTGCTTTTCGTGCATATTTTTTTTCTCATGATTATTGTTATGTGTTGTATTTTTATTTTTTATTTGTTGTGATTAATATTTTTTAAATAACCGATTAGAATTATTCCGAATTTTTTGTTTTTTTTCTCATGATTAATGTTATTTTTTTTTTCGTGGTTAACATTTTTTTTCGTGATTATTCCGGAATTTTTTTTTCTCATGATAAATTTTTTTTTTCCGTGCCTAACAATTTTTCTTTCGTGATTAATATTCTTTAAATAACCGATTAAAATTATTATTATTAGTAATGCTATTAGTTTTAGGATTGTTATTATTAGTAGCAATATTACTATTATTATAATTATTGTTGTTATTATTATTATCGTTGTTGGGAATATTCTTATTATTGTTGTTGTTATTAGTATTATTACCATTATTATTTTTGTTGTTATTAATATTGTTTTTTTTTAGTTTGAATATTAGTTGTTCAACTTTAATATCATAGTTATATTTGTAATTAATACTGATATTTGATTTTGTACTTATTTAATGTATATTGAGGGTTCAGGTCCTCGTCATGCAGTATCAAGACGTTTGAATGCGTCTATTAGGAGGGAGTCGGGTCGTTCGGTACATACGGGGGCACCGTATCATCATGAGCAGCAATATGGTCTGCTGGTACTTGGTCGGGGGAGCATCAGCCGCAAGGGAGCCCCCCCTCCCCCCATGTACTCGTCGGGTGGAGTGTCGATATCTGACGATGAGGACAATGCGCGGGCAAGTGAGGCTGATCGGGATGAAGAGTATGACCCTCAAGATTATCATACGGTGCATAGGGGTCAGCATGGGAGATTTGTTAGTAGCAGTCAAGTGAGTCAGCCTTCCACCAGCTCAGTAGAGACATGGGTTGTTCAGTAGCCGATGCCAGGTGGTCCTGAGGATAGTACTGTTATCCCCAGTTTTGGTGGTCACGTGGTTGCATATATTTGGGGCAGGCAGGAACGTAATGTTTTGCGCTGTTTTGAGCAGGACACAGCTGTGTTCTGCATTGGTTACCTGGCGAGGTCGTCTTGCATAGGAGCACCTGGAATTGATTGATGGTAGTGGTCTATCTCACTTACCAGGGATCATGTTAAGCTTTTGACTGGCTGTTGAGTTCTGTGTTTGTTGAGAGATGGCAGCCAGATACGAACACGTTTCATATGCCATTTGGGGAGATCACGATCATGCTGCACGATGTGTACCATATTATTGGGCTTCGTGTTGATGGTTCCATGGTTTCCACTACTCCTAGCACGGACGCCATACAGGACACGTGCTCGATTACCATGGACATTACTGTGGAAGAGCTGAATGAGAAGTGCGGTACGAAAACCATTTGGCAGGGTAGTGGGGTGCTTACCGAGAGGATTATGGACTCGACGTCGGAGGCGCAGAGGCCCTTCAGTGTCCATTACGGTGCGTACATGTGGTAAGTGCTGGGCGGATGTCTGTTTTTGGACAAGAGTGGTAACTGTACTCATCCGTCCTTCCTCAACGAGCTTGTTGTTGATGATCTGGTGATCAATGAGTACTCTTGGGGTTCAGCTGCTCTAGCATAACTGTATCGCCAGTTGGGTACGGCATCAAGAAAAGATGCCTATTCAGTCGCTTGTTGTCTCACGCTTCTGCAGGCGTGGATCTACGAGTACTTTCCGTGCTTTCGGCCTTAGCAGGGTCCCTTGACGAGGGGGCTTAGTATTCCTCGTGCGTCTGCTTGGGATGTGGGATTGGGATGCCCCAACAAGATCATGGAGCGCCTCCTCGCTTTTCGTGCTAGATTGGATCAGCTGATTGACAATGAGGTTAACTGGCTACCGTACGGAGTTGATCCTGCACGACGCGTGTCAGCCACTCTATTTATTGGCTGCATCCAGTACCGTAGCATCATTGAGCCATACATGCCTGATCGAGTGGTCCGATAGCTTGGATTCGTGCAGGACATTCCGCATACCATTATCAGGCATGAGAAGGCCAAGAGATCGACGAACTTGAAGATGTATCGGGTTGACTTTCCGACCGATATGATATCTGTGATATGGACTCGGTTTGTCCCTGGCTCGTCTTTCAGTGTTGTTTTAGGTGCCTTCACCAGACTCGGTGGTGGAGCTCCTACGGTCGCTTTTGGTTACATGCAGTGTCTGTACCGATTTTCTCATCCTCGTCTTTCTCCTGGTGGGTCATCAGATGGGAGTACCAAACTGCCTGAGAGGACTAACACGGACTATGTAAGTAGTTGTGTTTTATTATACTATAAATAACACTTAAACAAATTGTAATTTCTGTAATTAATATGTTGTTTTGTTATTTGTAGTGGATGGGTTGGTCCTTGGAGATTCACCGAAGATCACTAGATGAGTACCCCAGCATGTCGCATGAAACAAGGGCAATGACTGAGCAGCTGATAGCTGACTGGAAGGCGAAGATGGGGCTGTGAAGTACTTATCTTTTAGTTTTATATTAGCTTATAGTGATTGTTTTACCGTACTCTGTATTCGACATGTAATTTAAGAACTAGAGACTTATTTAATATTTGGTTTTGCTGAAACTTTGTTTAATTGCTTTTATTGATTTATATTACATAGCTACAAGAGTTCAACCTAAGTCAAAGTACATAAATGAGTTCACTGCCTAATTAATGCATCCCACATGTTCCTTCTAACTTCTTATTGCTGATCCCATCCATCGACACTTGGCTCGTAGTGCTCGGTCCACCATCTTGCAATTGGGGGAAGAGGTGAATTTTCTGCAAGATCAATACGGATGAAATGTGACCCCCCAACTGTAGCGATCACAAACTCTCGGGCGGGTGCCCTGATTGTGTTTTGTGCCCGCAACGGTAAGATCGTGAGGCATGGGTAGTAGCAAGTTGGTACGGTGCCTACACCAAGAATAATAACCCTTGCGTTGAACCAAGTAGCAATAGGAAATAAATCTTGAATTTCAACCATCCAATGACGTGAATCAACCGCCCCATCGTCCCATCGAATACGCTCCACATTCATCCGAACCCTTCCAATCCCGTAAATCCTTTCGTACAGGAATGGATAAGCGGCGACCTCATTTGCTATTGTTTCCCGAGCGTCAAACCATTGCGATTGATCACTGAAGAAGAAGTCGGCCACACAACGAAAGCCACAGTTACCATCGCCAATGACATCCTTCCATGTCGTGATATAAGGCAACATCGGTCCTAGAAGCAAGTGCCGATACCGGCTTTGACTAACGCCACATGGATCTTCTGCACAAAACTAATGTTCAGTTATTAGTACGGTAAATGATGAAATTCGTGAAAATCACAATAGCCAATCGTACCTGTTTGTCGTGGACCACGTTGAGTGTTTCAACGGTTGACATGTTCGAAATAAGAACGATCATGTCTTGTATCATTGTTCCTTCGTCGATCACGAACGTTGTGGTTTACATTTGGATCTCCATGGTTTGAATGATCCGGATGCAGCTCCTCCTCAATGATGCGAGATACATTTCGAAGGACAGCAGGATCACTACCGATTACCTCATCCACCAGAGAACGAAAATGTGTAGCATCCTCGGTCGAGTCATTACCGAAAAACGGTACATCATCCCCATCACCGATAACCAAGGTCTTCCAGAACGGGTGAATTTGCCTAATATACAAGCCTGTTTCGGAAGCTAGCGAATCATTTATCTGGCAGGCATAGGGAAAACTGTGGGTCACACGCATTGCACATCCACAACGCTCATACACCTGATAACTCAGCTCCCTCATCCTTCTCGTCTCGTCATCGAGAACTTTTAAACAATGCTGGGACACCTTGCCATTGATGCGTGACAGTGGCAATTGTCGGTACTTCTCACCAATCTTCGACCTAGACGCCTCTAAACCATTACGAATTGCAATGATCTAATTACCAATATGGCAATGTACTCGGGCCCATACGGTATCCAAAGAACCTGTCGTTTATTAACATTACAAAAAAACCGTTATGACTTATAATTAAAATCACTAAAACGAAGTACATACATCAACTACAACATTAAAACAACAAACCTGTCGAAGTTTCAAACCACATCTTCACGGCCGAATGTTTGCTTTCAACTCTGCAAGTGTTGGTGTTGCCAAAATGTAGAACTTGGTTTGTTCAAAATGTCACAAACTTGGTTTTATGACAAAGCCATGTTCTCTCAACATAACTAATCACCGCCGGATAATTTGCCCACCGAGCTTTCATTGTATCTACAACAGCATTATAATCCTCCTCGGTTGCAGCGTCCATGATACGTTTCCATTTCTTGTTTTTGAAACTCGCATCGATCCTCTTGTTTTTTAACATATCAGTGACCCGAGCCTCCACATCTTTGTTAATGTGCCATCGACAAAGTAAATGCGAGGTCCCTGGAAACAGTTCTCTCAATGTTGCACATAGCCCAAGCTTACGGTCTGTCAAAAATACCGACGGTTCCTTATCATACCCAATCAACTTTCTCAGTCTCTGCAAAACCCATAGATAGATTGTCGTGCACTCGTTGAGCATGAACACATAACCGACGAGGAAATTCTGATTTGTCGGTGTCACACCAACTATCTCAAAGAACGGCATCCCGTATCGATTGGTCTTGTAAGTGGAATCCATACCGATCACATGTGGGTACGTCCGTAGTATGTCTACTGTAACTAGGTGCACCATAAAGGCATGCTGTAGAACACCGAGATCATCAGACATGACCCAATAAAGATACTGACTCTATCTCGCCAAATGAAGAAATTGCTGAACAACTTCTTTCCCATCAGACATCTCTGTTCTCAAGTCATTCCGGCAGTTGTAAATGTGTTTGATGTTTGGATGATCATCAGGAAATTGCTCTGCAATAGTCGCCATGATTTAATGTGGTGCAACCTTGGACTTCGTCATGTCACACACAACCTTCTTCGCATCCGGGCTCAACCCACTAAATTTACGATGACCCTCCTGATACATAATCATTGGATGGTTATGGGTCCCAGTTGCATCATTTTTTTCCCGGATCTTCCAATTATCGGTGATAAACTCATAGTATATATTGATGTAGAAAGGACAACCATTAGCTTTGGTCTTTGTGTCCTTTCGAATAGCACCCTCCAAATCTCTCGGCTTGCTCTTTCGTCCCCGATCACATCTCAAATATCGATAAGGCCTCCCATCTCTAGTTTTGTTGTACGACGACTTAACCAAAATAAATCCAAGATTTATGGAAACAGCATCCGCCCATTTCACTGCATCTTCAAACGTTGGAAAATACGTGTCCGTCACAAAATGAGCACTATAATTCACACCGTCACAGCCGTCTTCAAATTCCGCATCCTATAAACATAAAAGAAAACAAACAAAACACTCCAATATTAGTATTTTAATTATAATATTAATAACAATTTTTGTAAAACAACAATAATAATAATAATTGCAATATTAATAACAATATTTATAAAACAACAACAACAACAACAACAACAATAATAATAATAATAATAATAATAATAATAATCAATAATCAATAACATACAAAAAAAAAATTAAATGAAAAAGGGACATCCGCCCAAAAAATCCGGTGTCGTAGTCGGCTTCATTTATTATAAGAAGTGTAGTGAGAATAATGATATCTGTTACTTAGATGCGTATATTAAATACTTTGCTAGGGGTCTGACACTCCAAAAACCTGTTTGTCATCAATGATGTCCATCAACTAACTGTCTTGTATGTTCTTTGTAGGAAGCAAGATCCAGATGGCAGATTATGAGAAAGCTAGACAAGCAAGGATAGAACAAAATAGAAGCAGAATGAAGGATTTGGGGGTTACATCCATGGCTTATACACTGAAACAGTCTATGAAGGGATTGAAACAACCGAAAAAAAAAGTAAGAAGGTGACTAAAGATACTAACGAGTATACACCCGATGAAGAGGGTGAATTGAACCACTCAAGTGAAGAGGATGAAAATGAGATAAGGAAAAATGGTGTAAACTTGAGGTCTTGTTCAAAGAAGGTCTTTTTTTTTTTTGATAGCTTCATTTGTGAATCATAATTGTTAGAAAATCATGTATTACTTTTAAATGAAATTCATAAATACTTTATTTCAGGTTGTGGCATTGAAAAGGAAGATTCCCACAAACATTAAGGACACGACAAGTGTCTCTTCAATACCAATGGCTAATCTAACTATGATGCGTCTTCAAAACACCGAAAGACAACACTTAGATTAAGGGTTGCAAAGGAGAGATTCAACGCAAAGGAAAATCCAATTGTGCAAATCAACTACACAGAAAAAGTTATCATTCCATAGTCAATAAGAGAAAGTGGTTGAGATTGGGAATGGTGACAAAACTAAGATAGGGCAGAATAAGGCAGTGGTTACTCCTGGTTTACTCAGTGCTTACAGGAAAATGCAAACACAATTGATGGAAAAAAAGAGGAGAGCAAAACAATATGATATATTACTACACTAGACGAATAAGGTAAAAAGGCACCGGTTCAAACCCCCCCTAAGGCACCGGTTTTGAACCGTTGGGGATTTGAGGGATGCCAAATCCCTAAAAATTTGGCACCGGTTCAAAACCGGTGCCAACTAAAGGCTTTGGCACCGGTTAACCGGTGCCAACTAAATGCTTTAAAAAAAATTACTTTTCCCAACATTTGGCACCGGTTAACCGGTGCCATAGTACATGAAGAAAATAAAAAAAATAATTTTTTATTTTTCACCTGAATTTAGGTGCAGACTTATATATATATACATAATATACTTAAAACTCATAATTTTCATTAATAACCTATAATTTTACACTTGCAAAAAAAAAAAGGAATAAAATACAACTGAATTATATTAACAATCAAGAGCAGCAACAACTTCCTACAATCACTAGTAGAACAGCAGCAGCCCAGTAGCAGAACAACAGCATCACAGTAGCTAAACAGCAGCAGCGCAAAAGAGAAATGCAGCGTCCATCAATGGCAATAGAGCATCCTAAATGTAGCCTGAATTTTACCATCAAAGGGAACTAAATTGCCTCTGGGAATCAGTATTCTATTAAATTTTGCGTATTCAGAAAGTCTGATCTTCTTTTGTGCCCGATTGACAGCAAGTATAACAATTTCACGAACATTCTTGAATACCTAAGGTAGGAGCAATGTATAGTTAGTCTTAATCTTACAAGGAGAAAGTAGTTCACAGAAATTTCAAGTCTTTGCATGGTAGGAGTGGAAGCAGGAAAGAAACAATTTGAAGAGTTAAAAAGGAATACATTATAAATTAACCCAAATATGGAAGCGATGTTAACTAATGCATGTGCAAGGAAAAAGAGGTACAAGGAATAGGATACAGAAAAACGACAATTTAGATACTTCAAAATAGTTATGAAGTACTTATATATAACAGTCTTAAAAGTATAGTAAAACAAATTTCATTGATGGTTAAAACATGAATATAACTAATACTATGCTAATTCAAAAAATCAACTTTGGGATGAAGATATGAATTGAAACAAGGCCTTACCTTTCATTGTTTTCGCATTCAACTTCATTAGTGATTGGCGGCAGCTTGTTTGATTTTCTCCGTTTTCTTTTTTTAGAACTAGAATTCAACCGGAGAAATATATATATAATAATAATAATAATAATAATAATAATAATAATAATAATAATAATAATAATAATAAAATAATAATAAAAAAAAAAAGAAGAGAATCAAATTAAAGTATACATGTATAAATTAATAAGGTGAAATATGTTAAAAAGGTTGTACCCTTCATGATTGTCTCCATGATCAATTTCAGGAGCAATAGGCAGACACTTGTTCTCCCCCTTTTTTGTTCTTTCTTTCTCACTGAAAAATCACAAGGATACTAATTAAGGGTACCATCATTAGCAACACCGAAAAGATTAAGATAATAAGCACATATATTCCCACACCATTAACAATCCAACAATCTTTGTCTCGCCTGAAGAATATGTATTAGATAGGACCAAAATGAACTATTAGCATATTAAGCATAGGTAAAGAAAATGATTGAGGCTTACTAGATAGAATTTTTATAGTAATAGACACAAGCATCAAAACATTTACTCAAAATCCATCTTCATTATAACCAAAAAAGAAAAGGAAAAAAAAAACAGTTATTTGCAACATTGTAACCTGAACACCCGTTTTGGATGGAATATGAACAAACTAACATAAATGGTTTAACTTTTACATGTTAGATTGTTAGAAGTCAAGACAACAATTCTAATCCGGAAATTTTATTAAAAACAAAAGAAGAAACTTTGTCCTAGAAGAATTATTTCACTCTTCCATTTTGCAACTTAAAAGTAGCAACTCTATGGATATGTTTCAGCAAGAAGATAAAATATTGTAGGTAAAACTTACCCTTGTTGTTTCTCTTCTAGCACAACAGCTTGATTCCCTAGCTTATTTTCAATTGCATCAATAATAGTAGCAGTTTGAGCTTCTAGTTTCTCTTCAAGACTAACCGGTATTTGCTTAAATGATTCAATTAAACCCGGGAGCAGAAATTTGAATCTTACACTTGTTCCACCTTTTTCCTTGACCGTTTCACCCACAAAATCAGAAATACCTAAATTAGATTGCATTAGAGAAGTTTAAATAGCTGACTTCAATTCACATCCACCGGACACAAACAAGAATGAATCAAATAATTTCAGCAAAATTTTCCTAATGCTATCAGGTTTAGGTTACTATGACAGTGCTATAATAACAAAGATATAATTAATAAAACAAATCATGGTACTAACATTGTTTGTTATTTAATCTTTAATTTACAGTTATTAGCTAAATAAATAGAATATTATATGATCAACCTATGTAGCAACCTTACTACAAAGCATTAAATTTTATAGAATTTATCTCTTAAACCATGCCTAAATGGAGTTGGTGAGAACTTTACAACTAACATTATCACACAACAAATTAAAAGTAAAACAACTAGTAATGGAATTTTACCATGACCATGAGTCTTGATACAGGACAACAGCTTCTGCTTGCTCTAGGAGAGAAACTAGTGAATTAGCAGCATCCACCTGAGGGTTGCTTGCATATGCACTTAGACCTGGCTTTTACTAACTACATTTTACTTACAACCCAAACAAGCACCAAGCAAATACACTACCACACCCCTGCCTATTGCCAACCCACACACATACATTGCACAGAACAATACTAGTGTCCTGTTAGGCACAAACACCACCTATCAGTAGTTTTATATGTATAGCTGGAGCCCATGACCTCATACTCAATCCCTACAACAAACAAGCACACTCCATGTTAACAACTAATAACAACCCACACCATGATTCAACAGTAAAACCCATATATTTTGCCAATACAACATTAGAAATGTGGTATGTAGCTCATAAGTCATTTAATAAAGACAAAGCCAAGCATACAAGACGACATACAAAATGAAGAAAAAGAACAAATACATGTATACATGATTAATATACAATACAAACAAAATAAAATTACATAATTTCAATAACTTTTGATTTAAATTATTTTAACAAGGTTCAAAAACAGTTATCATAAGTCAACAAACAACTATCCTAATAACATACAACTGTCCTAAACATATGCAAAATCATATAGTACATCCAGTGCTACTAACTTAAACAAGAAACTAATTGAAAATCATCCAATCTAGTGTGTTTAATGAAGGAAGAGGAATATCATAACAACACAATGAAAATGATACTTATTCTCTAAATATATCACGCAATAATCTGGCCAAAGCATTGAAAATATCGAATCATAAACACAAGTTGAAGATATGATTCACTATTATTAAATCAAAACTCAATAATGTTTTCTTAAAAAAGTATATACAAGTATAATTAGTTTATCAAATCCCCACTCTGATCTCATGATACATATTGATTTGATAAACATGTAAATATGCCACAAGAATAGATGAAATGCACCCTTGCACACAGAGCACCGCAACACTACACTAGAACAACCTAGCACACAACCACACTCAACAACAACAGCACCCCACAACAGAGCACCACACAACACACACAACACGCAATAGCAGCGCACCACACACGCAACAATACACGCACAGCACCACACACGCAACAACTAACCTCGCAGCACCACGATTAAAATAGAAGGGAAAAGGAAACTCACCAACACATGCATGTAAATAATTGTCGAATATCTCGCTCAATTAACATACTATTGGATTCAATTTTGTATAAAGGCAAAAATTAACCCTTAAATTGATAACAATCAGAAACCCTAGATTTTAAATCGAAGAGCAACATACCTTCGTGAAGAAATCCACCAGAGCTGCAAAGGGAAGGCACCACCGCCGCCAATTACGATGGTCGTGACAACATTCACCACCGCTGTCACCCTCAATTCCCCCCTACTACGAAGAAAGATAGTGAAAGAAAGAAAGATCTGGGAATGAAAGAGATAGAGAGAAGAATGAAAGAGATAGTGGGGCGGTGGTGGAGTAAAAAATGACAGAGAGCAAGAGGAGGCAAGAGATTGAAGATAGAGAAAGGAGGGTTTGAGCAGAGAAGAGAGAGGACGCAATTAAGAAGGATTTTTTTTAATATTTTTTTTTTAAATAATCAGTTGGCAACGGTTAACCGGTGCCAACTCTAACCCTTTTATTTTTTATTTTTTTTTTAAAAAAATAATCAAACCGTTGCCAACTCTAACCTATTTATTTTAATTTTTTTTTTTAAAAAAATTAAACAATTGGCAACGGTTAACTGGTGCCAACTCTGAAATTTTAATTGGCGCTCATTTTAGTTGGCACCGGTTTTCATGAACCGCTGTCGTAGGGGGGTGCCTATTTAGTTTTTTCTACTAGTGCTATGACGAAAAATACAACCTGTTAACATGGCTAGTTCACAAGTGCATTCAAGGATTTTGCAAGCACAAAGTTTTTCACAGCCACAAAAATTTGGACCTAACTTACAAGAAGATAACAAGAATCATATGAGTTCAAATGAATGCAATTTGGAATAATATGTAGATGAAGAAGATGAGTTTAGTGATGGATTAAGTATTCTTAATGGCGAGGAGCTAGGAATGTAAGATGAACCACTAGTGAATCCCAAGCACGGAAGTGAATAAATAGGTAATGCTGTGTTTTGCTGCTAAAGCTTGTTAATCTGAAATTGCAATGTATAGCCTTGCTTATTGCCCTTGGAGTTTGCATTCTTGATAGTTTCAATATGTGATAACACTCGCCTCCTTGATAGTCTGCGTTCTTGACAGCTTCAATACACGCTTGATTGTCCATTTGAATCACTAGTCTGTCCTGGAGAGCCCATGGCTACTCAACCTGTATTAAAAACATATCAGTTGCTAGTTAGCGCTATCCACCTCACAAAGATTTCATGCCTAGGGTGCCTGCCAAGTATATTTGTAGTTCCTTGTAATGGATTGGAATTAATTGCATTCCAGGTTTCTCACAACCTCTAATAAAAGCACCAGTGCTTAAAGGAATCTCTTCTCCCCTTCCAAAAGCAAGGTTCTGATGGGGAGTTGTTTTGTTCTCGCAATAAAAAGTACTAACTCTTATTATTGCGTTATTTCATTTTTGTTCTAGTTATTTGATATATGAGGATCAAATGGATCAAGATGAAGGATTGGGATAACAAGTGATAATGTCACAAGAAGTGTGCTTGCATATATCCCGTTTTTCTGCTGTTGTCACTTACTGCTACTACTGTTTTGCTACTGCTACTGCTGTTTTACTGCTGCCACTTCTGTTTTGCTGCTGATACTGATTTTTTTTGCTACTGTTATTGTTGTTTTGTGCTGCTACTACTGCTTTTTGGCTTCTACTACTGTCTGTTGTTGACTTTTGCTACTGATATCTACTGCTGCTATTTGCTGCCACTACTTGCTGCTACATACTACTGTCTGTTGCCGTCTTCTGTTGCTTATGTTGTCGTTCTACTAGCTTATTGTTGCTATATGCTGTTTTACTGCTATCATGTTGACTTTTTTTAAATTTAGAAGTTTTTCATATTTTCTCACCTTTTCCAAGCTAGAGATCGAAGTTGATTTTTTTTTTTGTTTTGATTATTATCTTGTTTGGCCATACATTAAAATTGGTGTTTATGAATTTTTTTTGAAAGAATTATGAAATTATTTCAATCCAAGTTATTATTTATCATATATATTAATTTCTCATTCACACTTGTTGTACATATTAATATTATTTTTATATTTTAATAATTATAAATGCTACATTAATTTGCAAAAAGTGCTACATAATATCGAATAAAGTGCTACTATATATGTCAAAAGATGATTGAAAAATGTTACCTAATACTCAACAAAGTGTTCCATTAGTTCAAAAAGTGATACATAATGTTAGACAAAGTGATACTATATGATTTTAAAATGTTACTAAACATAAGTAATTGTTACATAAGAAATAAAAATTAACACTTTAAAAATGATACTAATAATATAAAAAAATTTACATAAGAGGGTTTATAGTATCACGTACTATTGAAAGTGTTACCATACGTTACCCAAAGTTTTACATAAGACCTTAGGGAACGTGGGCGGAAGTATCACCCAATAAAGTGTTACCTATTGTCTATAATAACACTTTTACCACTTTATGTGACACTTTTTGGGTGTTACCTGAGCTTAGTTTTGTACTAGTGTCCCCAAATTCCTATTCCCACTTGCCAAACGCCCCGATAATGTTTCTAGATACAAGCAATATCATAAAGTCATGTATCGATAAATAATACGCACTCGTTACTAACTTAGGTCGTTAATTCAATTAAAAATCATAATTAAAACTAGTGGAGTTATTTAAACAATTATGTGAAATAAAGAACTCCCTAAGCACGCAAAGGCTTAGACGCCCAAAAATCGATAAATAACGCTTCCACTAAAACCCGCATCCATATTAATTAAATTTATCTAATTAAATTCAATTAAATGAATGAAGTCATTTTGTCAAAAATTACGCGATTTCGAAAAAACTGAGGCAAGGCCTCGAAATTATGAAAAACAGAGTCTTAGCAGGCCCACTAGCATTCCTTGCTAGTGTCGGGTGCTACTTGGCTGCCTAGGCAAGCACCCTACTAGGCTGGGGCTGTTTGCTGCCTAGCAGCCCAGTGGCGCGGACACAATTGCTGAGCACCGCGTACCAGCCCCAACCCTCATGTTGTGCTGGTGGTGGGTGCTGCCTGGCAGCCCTAGCTAACGTGCATGCTTGTCCTAGGCGCTGCCTAGCAGCCCCAGCTAGAATTGCGTGTTGGCCCTGGGTAATGCCTAGCAGTCCCGCACGCTCACGCATTGCACTACATAGTTGCTGGCGTTGGGTGCTGCCTAGCAGTCCCTAAGCCCAGCAGCCTCGCACCACACCTCTCGTATGCATCCCCGCCCCTGCTACCCCTCCTTTCGCACACTCTCGCACACACTAGCAAGCCTCGGGCAACAGCATTAATGCAGGCTGTGCGAGTAGCCCCTGTTGTCCGAGGCTTGTGGCTTGGCTCCACGCCTTGCCATGTAGTATATGCCTCAGGAATTTTTATAACCGAAAATTTTGTGACGTTTTAATTCCAAATTCAATTTTTCGAATTAAAATTTGTGCATTTCGAATTAATTTCAAGTCTAACCATAGTTAATCCAAATAGGTGAAACATCCAAAAATTATTCACAAGATCCAATCTTTAATAATATTAGGCCATTTTGAAACAATCAAAATTTTAGGGTACGCTTCGTAATTAAATTAACTCATCCCATGATTAATATAACTATGATTTTGACGAATTAACCAAATAAATTATTTATCCATCCAATGAAAAATACTTTTGTTAATTAGGACCATACAAATTTGAATTTTTCCAACATTCAATGCAATCAAACATTCAAACTCAAGCGTGAACATCATGAATTTCAAATAGATTTCCAAAATCATTAAAAATTCAATCTTTGTTCATTTTAAGGTTTTAGTAATCAAGATCTAAACCATTTATCCAATAAAGTTTTAATCTTTGAACAAAATAGAGATTAATAATCATAATCCAACACTAACGAAGCACTTACAACAATCCAATTACAATATTTAAGCAAGTTCATGGTTTATGTGGAATTTTGAGCACTCTAAATTAATCATCCAAAATTTCATGCATTAATTAGGGCATAAGTGTAGTAGATTAAACATGTATTCACTCACATAATTAACATTTGTATTCCATAATTAATTAAGGTCCAAAGATGTAAAATTTTCCCATTCTAAACAAAATACCCTCTAATGCCTTTTTTAAACACTTCGTGGGTAAAGTTCAATTTAAAATGCATTTTTCACCCAAAAATCACTACTTTTTCGTCGAAATTTGGGTTCGTAGTCACATTCCAGCATTAATTCGATTTCATCCAATAAAAATCGAAATCCCAATCTAATTAGGTGCTAATAATCCAAATTTTAAATCCAATCTTAAATCCCCTTAATTAATGTTAGTCGTAAAATTTAAATTCAAGAGGCTCGTGATACCGCTATTGGGTTTTATGGTGTTCCAAACACCGTGCGGAAACCAAAACCCGCCCCAAACCCATGCATAATTAATATGACTAATTGCATATATTAAATAAACACTCAATCACATAACGAGATTAAAGAATATACCATTGAAGTGTGCTTTGCCCGTGCACGAACACGATCATTAAACACCACGGGCGGGAATCAAGAATCGCAAGTGCGAGCTCCTCTAACTTCGCACACCCTCGTGCCCAAACCTTGGTCATGATTTAATAGCTTAGACTAAATCACAACACTACTAAGAAAATTTGTACGCAAGGTTTTCTCACTTTGGTGGAGATCCCTTAGAGTCTAACTTTCTTACAAATCCCCAAAAACTAGTTAGGTATTGTAGACACCTGATTGTGTCTCCATAAAAACCAAATTAAACCTAGTGATGATTACCTTTCACGTCTTTGATTAGCGAGTTCGGTAAAGAGTTGAAGAGTTTCGTGAAGTTTCCTTAAACTTTGACCATATTCATAACCTTACCTAAAATAATTTAATCCAAAATCATTCATTTCGTGTCCTTACACCCAAAATCATTCATTTTGTGTCCTTAAAATCATTGATTTCGTGTCTAACTTATAAAAACGTCCAAATACGATTATTTTTGTCCATAATCTCGATCCAATTATTGTTTAGTTTGATGGGGCTTGAAAAGTGCTTTCCAACGATATATTATAAGCCCAAATTTGATTTATAACGAATAAGTTATGACCAAAATACTAAACTGAGCCCAAATCGAACCTAGGTCCACCTTACCTACAACCCAATAATCATATGAGGGTCCAAATATCTTATTCCTAATCTTGAACCAATTAGGATCCGTTAGGAACTTCTAGAATAATCTAAAAGGTTCTAATTTATCCTTCCCGAAAAGAAAATGATCAAAGAGTTTGAGATTGAATAAAACTTCTCTTTTTGATAATTCTTGTTCTATTCAAATTCAAATACGTTCGGATATAATTTGCATAGAAAATCCATCAGAAACCAAACTCCAATAAAATAGATAATCCTTTAAAACCAGCGCCTAATGTCAGGACCAACGCACTACGACAGTCCTAGCGCACTGCGACAGTCCCAGCGTGGCGCGATAGCACCCAACGCGACCGCGATGCGATGGTCCTAACGTGGCGTGTTAGATCTAGCACGGCGCGTCAAGAGCAGTTCTATTTCGTTTCCAATTCTGATCTTTTCTGATAGTTCGACTCTCTTTTTTCCTTATAAATAGAGGTCGTTTTCCCCGTTTAAAATTAGCTAGAACCATCAATAATAAGCAATAACCACAAAGATCCAATCATCATCTATCACCCATGTTCTTAGCCTTAGCCTAAACATATCTTTGATATTCTCCCCAGTCAGTCACAATACCTCGTTCATGAGATTTGAATACTCCAAGCCATCCTCCTCAATGTTGCCTTTGACCTCGACGTGAAAGGTTGATAGTTCTGAGGGTTTGGTCCCAAATTTAAATTTCAATTCATATTTGATTTATTTACTTTGTTGATTTAACTTTCTTGAAGTTTACTAATGTGTGTATTGTTTTAATAGCAAGAAGGTTGAGGAATCAAAGTGAGTCATTCAATCACCCTTGTTATTATTCCTTGATTTTGGAGTAGAAATCATGTTTACAATGTTATTTTGATTTCAAATATCATGTTTAGGATAAAGCTTTGATTTTGTTATTAGTGATATGCTAGGATTTCTTATTAATCCGTTTAGTATCATGCCTAGGATCTTAATACTAACAGTATTTTTGATGATGTTGTTATGATGATGATTGTTGTATTAATCATATGTTGCTTGATTATTCATGATTTATTGTTATTACTTGATGACGCCCCTTTTTGCAGGTTTAAAAGGAATTTGTACTTGAAATCACGCTTAATAAGATAATTAATAATTTGATTTTGGTTAATATGATTTTAATTCAAGTTATCACCAATAATAGATTTGATTATGCATTAATAATTAACCAACGTAGATTAAGCAAGTTTACGATTAATTTGATATATGTATGTTAAACGGAAAGTGCACATGAATATCATAAGAATTAAGTAGAGGCTTATTTAGAGCGGATTCAATCTCTTTTAGGTTGGATTCATACCATCATTCCCGAACATCCAGTCATGGTTTCGGACCACTATAGAGTTAGCGATCTCGGTGATCGTGAATGGGTGTAACCTTCACACCCGTGAACGGTTTACAAGATCCTAAAACTTGTTGGTGAATCTTTTATCTCTAACTTCTTTTCCTTGGAACGCCGCCATGCCTAAAAATATGAACCACAGTAGGGCTCAATGATGAGTTAAAAAATTCCATATAGGTTTTTAGCGACTCTGTTGGGGAGGATTTCTAAATTGATTTCTAAAATTATTTTAGTAATTGATTTAGAATGAGTGGATGAGACTTAAAAGATCTAGATATTCATGTGCGTAATTTTGATTAACATTGTGGCATAAGCATAAAAAGGGTCGCATTGAAAAGACAATCTGTAATGCGTCAAAAACATAGGACATACACGTAGGAAAAGGTCGGAAATATTTTTTCACAACTAAAATCGAAAAGACGCTGCGAAAAATCGAAAAAAAACATCGAAAATTGAAACTGCCGCAAAACGTTAGAACTATCGCAGGACCTTGGAAACCAACGCCGGACGATAGTCTTATCGCGTCGCGACAGAGCTATCGTCGGACGATGGTTCCTATTGTCTAGCAATACAATCTGGAGACTCTGCGCTAGGCTTCTGTCTTCATGTTTGGTCCGATTCTAGTACTGTCTTGACGATTTTACTTCCAGATTAAGTTTTTCCGACTTTTTAGAATCCATATGTGTTTTACATATGGTTTTAGCCTTTGGGAATTCACTCTCTGTCCACCCTAATAAATGCTCACTACAGCAATGGGTGCACCCGAGTTTGTTGAATTCACCAAACCATGGAGTTGATTTTAACTCGCGGGGTCCTGTCCATCGTGCCAACCCTTCTAAGGTAAGGCTTCTGCGCGATGCATCTGAACTATTAACCATGGACCCTTTTGGACACCATAATCCTTGACCTTAGAGAACTAGCTTAGAGCCATGGTTAGGTTGCAAACTCATTGCATCATGTTGTGACTACTTGACTACTTGTGCATATCTTACTTGCGCATAGCTTGTTTGTGATTAAACTAACCTTTCTTCTTGTACATATACCTATACAAACTAACCTTTGTCTTAACTTGATTCATGTATATATGACTTGTATATACTAACCCAAAGGACTTTGCTTAATTAATATGAACCCATAAAGAATGAATATGTTCGAATGTAGAAGACTTTAGGCTTAAACCTTTGAAGGAATGACTGAAAACGAGTCACTGGATGTTCCATTATTGGCGCAGCACCTTAGACACGTGAAGCATGACATGGTTACCATCGTACCGCGTCAGGCTTGACGTGTCGCGATAAGTCCATTGCCACGCTACATTTCCATCGCTACGCGATAGTTTAGTCGTTTCTTTCCGAGTCTTTGCTTCGAGTCTCACTATCAAGATTAACCAATTAATGTACATACTTGGTCTTTCCCTGGTCTTGTGTGAGTCTAACCACATGTCTAGTCACATGGTCATGACACGAGTCTTGTAAATATCGCTTCCACTCACGAGTCTTTGCACACGCTTCTTACATACTTTCTTCACACCATGTCCATCTCTTAGATTCATGCATGAGTCATCCTTTCCGTCATTCGAGTTGAGGGTTCATCCTATTCCCGGAAATTTCCATATCTTTCCACAAATACACCCTTTCCTTCTACATCACCTTTCATACATTATATACCTTACGCTTTCCTTCTTAGACACTTTCCACATTCACATACTTTCTTGTTTCATACATATCATTCCCCTCATACACTATGATCTTTCCCCATCTATGCATGTTGAATCGAGTTCGAGTCAAGTAATTGACAATAAGTGTCCATGGTTTCCCTTTCTACAACCTTTGGTCAAGGAAAGCATGAAGCAGGAGGCGGGCTTCAACGACAAGATTTCATGATTCTTTTCTTATTTTTGATTCCCCTTTCCACTAGGAGAAATTACGAATTTCCCATCGGTTTTGAACCGGACTGGATTTGGGGGGTGCTAAAACCCCATAGATTTCGCACCGGTTCAAAACCGGTGGTAAAAATGACTTTTCGCACCGGTTTTAGAGGAGAACAGGTGCCAAAAACTGAACTTTTCGCACCGGTTTTTACTTAGAACCGGTGCCAAAAGTCCCCAAAATTATTTTTTTTAAAAACCTTCAGCACCGGTTCTTTCCAAAACCGGTGCCAAAAATGCCCAAATTAAATAATTTTTTTTTTTTTTTTTTTTTTTTTTGCATTTTTTTCACTTAAATTGTACCAAATACTTATATATAATCATAATATACATAAAACACATATATTTTCTTCGATAACTTATAATATTACACTTTAAAAAACTGAAGAAAAAAAAAAAACAAAATTAAGGTCTGGAGAAGCTGTTGCTGGCTACTGCTTTCTGTTTCTGGCTGCTTAGGTCTGGTTCAGGCTGCTGGTTTTGTTGCCTGCTTGTGTACCATCCTCAGCCTGTAGTTTTTTACTAGCATTCATGGGGGTAGGTACAGCCTTGCAATTATGCATCCCAAACCTGAACAGAAGATCTCTAGCATACTTTCTTTGTGAAACAAATATACCATCATCTACTTGTTTCACCTCAAGACCAAGAAAATATTGTAGTCTTCCCAAATCTGACATCTCAAACTCAGTTTGCATACTAGTCTTAAATTCAGCAACAAGACTATCGGAAGACCCAAAATAAATCATGTCATCAACATAAATGCAAACAACCAAGAACTCACCATTTTCATGCATTTTCACATATAAAGTGGGTTCATTTTCACTCCTAACAAACCCATGCTGCAAAAAATAAGAATCAATTCCACGCTCTTGGTGCCTGTTTTAGCCCATTAAAGGCCTTTTTCAGTTTATACACCTTGTTATCATTTCCTCTAACAAAAAAAACTGCAGGTTGTGACACATAAACTTCCTCCTCTAGCTCCCCATTTAAAAAAGCAGACCTCACATCAAAGTGATAGACAGGAAGATTTAGTTTAGAAGCTAGACATAAAAGAATTATCACCGTTTCAAAACGAGCAACGGGTGAGAAAGTTTCATCAAAGTCAATACCTTGATGTTGAGCGTAACCTTTTGCCACGAGCCTAGCTATAAACTTCTGTATACTTCCATCAGCATGACGCTTGATCTTGAAAAACCACTTCAGACTAATGGGTTTCTTGCCTCTTGGTAAATCAACCATTTCCCAAGTGCGGTTGCGCTCAATTGCTCTTATTTCCTCCTTCATTGTAGCTTGCCATTCTTCAATCTCATTTGCTTCTTCAAAACATGTGGGCTCGGTCACATACAACACAAAGGAGCATGATTCATAAATTTCTTGCAGTGATTTGAATTTTTTGGAAGGTGTCTCACTGGAAGAACTTGATGATGCTGGGCTCACAAGTGAAGATCCACCACTTACAGGAGTAGTTGCACCATTACTCCTTGTTGATGGTGTGTGGGATTGAGAACTTTCAGGGAACTCCTCTACAGGAGTGTTGTCAGCAACATGTTCATCATTATTTGCCAAAGAGAAATCAGAATGTACACCATCAGAGTTGAAGTTCTAACTAGCATCTTCATTGAATACAACATCCCTGCTGATCAACATTTTGCCACTCACAGGATTATATAACTTATAGGCTTTGGATTGAGTACTATATCTGACAAAGATGCATTTTACAGATTTATCCTCAAGTTTTTTTCTAAGTTGAGAATCAACCAAAGCATAAGCTATACATCCGTGAGCTTGTTACCTTTCCATGCTTCATACGGAGTTTGACTGTAGACCGCCTTTGTATGAGAAATGTTGAGAATATAGACAGCTGTAATGAATATAATGTTGAGAATATAGACAGCTATAGAAAAGAATCAGAAGTGATGCAAAATCTGACGATCGAAATAATACTCAAAAAGTACATCACGGAATCCTCAAACATAATATTACTCTGTCCTCCAGCAGGCTACAAAAAGAGATTATGTTAATGATCAGGTTTGCAAGAAAACTTGTCAAATACTAAAATGGATGACAATACTTCTTACAGCTACAAAACTTTTATCCTTTGAAAAAACTTTGTCAAGTTTATCAGTATAGCAGTCACTAATCAAGCAATTCAATTAACACGCATATAAATTTCATATTCAACTGTTTTCTGTTACGGTCCTCTAGAGCCTACCTTTCTACAATCATTGTCCTCCAAACACAGATAGCAAGCTCAAGACAATGCAAAATAAAGGTTATATTTAAACAAGTGATCCCGAATTGCTGACCACACAAACAGAACAACATAAGGGGGAAACCAACTTAGTATAGCCAGAAAATAGAAAAGATTGAGTCGCTCTCTTAAAAACTTAGTATAGCCAGAAAATAGAAAAGATTTCTTGGTGCTGGCTCACCCATGTCCTTTTCTTTTGACTCCAATGAACGTGCAACAGCCAATGATCGAGGAAGATTTTCCTGAGGTGGGCCAAAAATGTTATTTCCACTGAGTTCCTTGCACTTGGCATATGACAGTCCCTTTTTGATCTTTGAGTCTGCCTCAGCTTCTAGAGTGCCACTCAATTCACGTTGCTTTGCTACCTCTGGCAGAGAGGTAGGCTTCTTGGGTGTCACACTTTCGTCGACACTAAAAGAAATCTGGCTAATTCCATTGACAGCTTGCTGCAATTTGCAGCTACAAGAGAAAGGGTCAAGAGTTTATCCGGTGTGTCATTACAAAAAAATATACTTTGTACGAAGTATATTAATGAAAATAAACCTGATAAACTCTCCTTTGCTTGGTAGCATACCACAAAACAATATGAACCTAATAGAGTAACAGTCAACCCTATTTTGCAGTAATAACCATATAAAGGAATCAGTTTAAGAAATTAGCAAATTATGTAACCCCGTTTATGGAAGACCATCCTATTTTGCACTACATATTTATTTCTTCAATAACAAATTAGCAAGTGCATGGTAGTCCTTATAAAAGTTACAAGCCCCTAATCTAAATAATTGGATTCACCCAATGTTATACTTCATTCGAATATATATATAATTGTCACATTGTGCATTTGTGATAACCCCTCATATATACATATACTAGTATACTATATAACATTAGTCTACGATATCTCTTAACAATAATCGTTCTAATTATACCATCTTCCCATCAATTAAATTATTTAATCATTTATAATGAAAAACAAACATAAACCATCACAATTTCAAGCATCACAACAACTTTTTCCGAAAATCCAAAATCGGTTCATGTAATGTGGTTCCAGAACAGAAATTATCAAATTAAAATTCAAAACCCCATAAAAATCATACAAGAACACCAATTCAAAAAATTCAGGGGAGAGAGAGCATTTCAACCAAGTTTAAGGAGTTTAGGTAAAGAAAATTCAAGTCCGTCCATTATAGTCCTTTTTATTAGAGATTATCATGGTTCATCAGGCAAACTAAAGGTAAAACCATCATCTTACCTCAAAGCTGGTTCAATGGAGGTGAGAAAGCTCGGAATCGGTGGAGGTGTAGCTGTGACAAGGAGGCCGTTAGGGTGGAGGTGTAGCCGTGCGCGCTTCAATGAATAACCCTATATTACCACAACCCTAAAATTACTAAATTGAACAGAAAATCAACGACAAGCCCTAGATTGCGAAAGGTAATCAATAAGTTCGCACAGCCACAAGAAAAATCTTACCTCGAAGTGAGTTCAATGGAGGCCAGAGCTGGTTCAATAGAGGTGCTGCTTCAATGGAGTGAGAAAGCGCGTAAACCAATTCAATGGAGAGAGAGCGAGCTGCTTCAATGGAGTGCAGAAGGAGATGCGAAAACGAGAGGGAGATGCGAAAACGGAGAGGGAAAGCTGGGAGGAAAAGCAGGAGATGCGAAAATGAGAGGGAAAGAGAAGAGCAGAACGAAGAGGGAAAGCAGGGGAAAAAAGAAAGAAGAAGAAAGAAAGCCTTAAACCGGTTTTTTTTTTAACATTTCGCACCGGTTTTGGTTAGAACCGGTGGCAAATCATTTTTCTCCCTTATTTATTTATTTATTTTTTCGTTTGTAATTCGCACCGGTTTAATAGGAACCAGTGCGAAAAGTCATTTAGCTTATCCCGCCCATTTCTTTTGCCACCGGTTTTCAAGAACCGGTGCGAAAGGTGCGGTGCCTAATTCATTTTTTCTACTAGTGTTCCCTTAATAAGTCTAGCATAGGCACCCTTTATCATTTTCCTTAGATTTAGTTCATGAGTTTGTTTTTACCCTTTCCATATTGAATAAAATTAGTATTTCTTTCCTTACATATGATCATCGCATTGCTTTAAAAAATAAATAAAAAAAAAACATAAAATAAAATAAAATAAAATTCATGTTGAACTAAACACAAGGTATACCCATGATTTGAGGCACCCCTTGTAGCCACATCATATCACCTTCACCCTTTCCAAGATACAATCCTTTCTTGATAAACCACTTTGAGCCTCGTCTAACGAATAACCTTTCATTTTTCAACCCAAATCTACCTAACCTTGAGACGGGATGGTGTACAACTTATACAATTTTCAAAGCAAAAGCTTGAGTGATTGTTCCAAAATTTCAAAAGTTTAAAAATAATAAAAGTGTATAAAAGGGCAAGTGTTCCAATGTCTTTGATATGAACACGTCTCAGATTGCGTCTCTTATTGAGTGCTTGGCACCGTGCCTAAGAAACATAAATTCCAATTGAGTGATAGACCACATGATCGAGATTGCCCACACTTATCCAAAGAAGATTCAAGAACAAAGGCAGATATAAAAGAAACAAATTCAAAAGTGAGAAACCTCAAGCATACAAATACCAATATTCAAATGTAAGGTTACACACCTTGAGGGCTTACTTTGGGTCTTGAACCTTTATCCCTTCTTATTCAACCTTTAGCCTAACCCCGTCACAGCTCTTGAAAGACCTCTTTAAGGTGTACACGCACTTGTGCGAGGTTCGGCTATAGCTATGTTTGGCCTAATTCCTAATGGATACGTAGGCAACCTCACATTGGGGTGAAGCTGTAATAATTTATCACATTCATTCATGATCATATCAAGGGATCTCCAATGCTCACCCCTATCCATTTAGAGCTAGACTTGGGCGCTTGATCCCTAATTCATTAGCCTACCCAGCCTAAGAGTCACCATCATTTGGCTCTTCTCAAAAAAATTTCCATACCCTTAGGCTTTGTAGCCTAACCTTAGTGTCACTCTCACACACATCACAAATACGTAGCCAGATAATCCTTCCCTTAGAAACCTTTGTCATGAAATCTTGATACAACTTTGAAGCATGCCTTTTCATCTTAGAATCACTCATTATCATAATCATCATCGCATCACAAAGTATGAGGTACTTAGCCTCCGCGCCTAAGTTACCAAAATACTTTCATTATCGAATCATCAATTGAGATAGCCTAGGATGCTACAATCCTTGCACCATGAAATATAACGATTAATACATAAACTTGATTAAGCTCACTCAACATACACCATCGGTTGATTCATTCTTTTCATTTTGAGAAAGTTTAAAACTTCTATTTTCACCAACACTTTACCTCTTTTCATTTTAAGTCTTTCTTTTCGGGAGAAAGTCGGTACCCTCCACAAAAATGACAGAAATATTTTGCTTTTTCTGCGTTTTCGAGTCACATTGAGTTGAGTCTACGCACATTGAGTCTATGCACACGAATCATACACAATGAGTCAAGTCATATCAAGTCGAGTTGAGTTTGCACACATCGAGTCGATCTAAGTACATTGAGTCACACAATGAGTCGAGTACACCAAGCCTTGAGTCAACCTCAAGCCAACCAACTATCAAGGTCCTTTGGCAAAATTTGAATTTTTGCAGAGCTCTGGCGCATCTTTATCATCCGGCAATATTTCTAAGATTGGATTGCCACCTCAACTGACAACGTTTCCAGGAGTGGATTGTCACACACCTTCTTCATTTGGCAATTTTTCCAAAAATGGATTGTCACAAGTCATCTCCTTTGGAAAAAATTTTCAAGATTGGATTGTCATACATTCATCATATCCTTGACAAATTTTCGGAGATTGGATTGTCACTTTCCTTGGCAACTTTTCCAAGATTGGATTGTCATTCACCATGGAAAAATTCGCTAAGAGGAAGAACTTGTGTTGGTCTGTGAGGACAGTTGTTGGCCCTTGATGCGCATTTCGTGACAATAAGCCCTTCCCTAATTTGTTTAGGGTCGGGGTGTTCCAAATGTATCAGAGCAACCCTGTGATCGCGGGCTGATCATGGATAATTAATCCTATGTCAATCGCCTAGCGGGGAAGAATTATGGGGCTATATGGCCTTATCCAAACTGGATGTAACACTTTGGCTACCCAGTTGTCATTAGGTGTAATACTAGGGGTCCCCAGGGTTCCAGGCGCAACGAGGGCAGTGTCGTTCCCAAGTGGGGGTGTATGTAATACCCCTCATGATTTCTTTAAAAGGATATAATTTACTTTTCATACAAACAAGATGCATCTTTCTTTTAGGGAGCTCATATGCTAAGATACTTCTCAGTTAAGTGTGCTTGGCTGGGAGTAGTCTTAGGATGGGAGAACTCCTGGAAAGTTTTCCCAGGATGCGCATGAGTGGCGACAAAATGCGCTGAAAGGACTTGTGTTGGTCTGTGAGGACAGTTGTTAGCCCTTGATGCGCATTTCGTGACAATAGGCCCCTCCCTAATTTGTTTGGGGTTAGGGTGTTACAAAACTGTAACGCCCTGTCCTTATACAACTATTGGTGTTAGCGGAAATACGTCGTCATGGAGGTCACTTCGTCACTATCGAAAGTCAACTTAAGTCTATGTGATCTAATTAGAGCATAGACATTGCATTTTAGTTTAATTAAACCTAAACGGGTCTAAAAGTGATAGTTGAAGCTTTAGAAAGAAGAACATGACTACACAAACAAAAGATAGATACAACTTGAAGTTACAAGAAGCCAAGGGCAGAACAACCCTTATCGGAAAATCTCAAAACGTATTCAAGCCAAACTAAGTTAAGAGAAACCATGCAAACAATTCAAACAAGCCAAACCAAACCAAAACATTCAAAAGTCCAGCTTAAGGTGGCCTAAGGCCCACTCAAACCCGGCCCAACGAGACATATCCCAACATCACTCTGCATTTGAAACAACCACAAAAAATTCCTCAATCAGTGAGGAGCAACTAGTAGTTCTCCCTCAAATAAGAAATAATAAAGTTTAGAAATTAAATTACAAGTAAGAAATCACTTACACTTAACCATACAAATCATGAAATAAACTTTGAAAACAAAATCAAATAAACCAAACTAAAGTGAAATTTCATATAACTTTGAAAATATATATATATATTCATATAATTTCATAAACTGTTCAAAAATCATTCAAACAACAGATTTGGCAAGGAGGGAACGTTAGTGGTCTCGTAATCCACTTCCTAAGGTTTGTTAGGTAGAACCCCCGGTCATCTCGCAGAAGATCGTATCTAAGATTGGCCAAATCCCGTTTATGGGTAGATGCCCATAAGGTCTTACATACCCCTAGACGACAACAATTAACCCAGGTTGAGCTACCTAAGACTCGCAATCAAGGTAGTTAGCATGTTCATCAACCATCGGGAAGCAACTCGGCCTCACACCCGACTATGGCCCCACACACAATTCAAAATCAATTAAAATACTTAATATAATATATTTCACTCAGAAATCTGCAGAGAAGCCCAAAATGGTCTTACACTCATTTCAAACAGCATAAGAAAGTCATATTTCTTAAATTCAATTGAAACTCCATTTCAAAACACATTTCAACTTAATAAACCACAAAAGGTATCGCCTTAGTTCACACCTAAAATTAATTATCGGAACTCAACAATTAACTGCATTCACAACCCTTGGCGAACTAATGCTAAAGACAGTGTTATTCTTCTCTAAAACATTACAACGTCGACAACACAATTACAACTCACCTAAATTCAATCACACATCCAAATATTTCACCTTAGGGGTTTATAATACCTAAAATATTCATACATCACCTCGTTAAAATATAATTTCAACTAATATACGACATTTACCTCAAAAATTTCATAAATTCGTTTAATTAAACCAAAATCCTATACTAACAATTCATAGCACAACTAATATGGACAGCATCATACAAGCTCAAATAACATCATAAAAAACAATCCAAACAAGCTTCAAATGCAAAATAAAAATTAGAGCACCTACATATACTCAATAGGCATCATATAAAACCCTTATACACTCAAAATTCATGACTTAACATGGTTAAACAAAAATAGAAATGCAGCAGCCCCAAGTTCGATTCTTGCAGCACCAGTCACACAAATCACTCCCAAAACCCATCTTAAACATGAAACTAAGTTTAGCCCAATATAGTACACACTCTAAAAACATAATAGGCTATAATAAGCATGCATTTGGGCTTAGAAATCAAGCAACACCTAACTGAGAATCACCATCTTTCACACGCTTAGCAGATTAGGGGCAGCATCTATGTTGCACTGATTTAGGCACTTTAATCTATCCAAAATTACACAAAATCATGCCAAATCAATTTAGGGAATATCCAAACATGACACTAATTCAAATTAGTCAAGTAAATCATGCAAAATAATTAATTTAAGGCCCAAGAACACAAGATACACAAGCTGCCATGACAAATTAGTGAATCAAAATACATGCTAATATAAAAGATAGAATTTGCCTATAAACATGGAATTTCACTATGGTATAAACTCATAAATAATCCTAACATGATAATCTAGAATGTATATATTCAAATAACCACAAAAATAAGAGTTTAATATGCCCTAAACTACTACTACTCACACGGCCAAAACAGCACTGGCAGCACTACATTGACCCACAAACTCAGTAATTTGGTGGCCTTAAACACCTTCGCAATTTACCCATAATTTATCAAATCGATCGTAAAACAATCCTCTACAATAATATAAAATAAAATCATTGAGATTAGGGCTTAGTCACGACCAGATCACTACAAAAAACCGCAGTCTTACACGCACATAACAGTCACGTACAACATTTTTGTAAGCCCCAAAATCATGTAGGCATCATAAAACAATTAGGGATTGATAGTAAGAAAATCTAGGCATGAAATTCGTGTTTTACACACAGAAAATAAGGTAAAACCCATTCGAAAAATTGACGTAATCACTACATACGAAAATTGAAACTAACCCTAACCTTAACATGAATTCAATCCTATAATTTAATCCTAAACATTAGAATTCCTAATCTAAGGGATTGTACTAGCTACCTTTGAAGCGTGACTTGGTTAAAGACTTAGGAAAAGGAGTAGAAGACCCACAAAAATCCCCTTTGAAACCCACGAAAACCACACACCCAAACAAGCTTTGTTTCTCCTTGATTCCCTTGCTTTAATGGAGATATTTTACCACGATTTTGTTGATGAATTAAGCAGCGAAAAGAGCCTTCATTTACCCTTGATTAAACCTCTGAAGGTTACGAAAATTTTGAGGAAGAGAGATGAGTTTTGTGCAGCGTATGAAAGGAATGAAGATCGTTGTTTTGTGAAGCCTTTTGTACATGAGAAAGGGGAAAGGAAGGGCTAGTGTTAAGGCATCATTAAGGGGGTGTAATGAGGAGTAGATGGGAGGTTACTTAGGTTAGATAATCAGTCTTTTAATCCCTCTACCAGCCGTGTGAGATGAGAGGAAAATGGGCTCCCTTAATCCCTTTAAATCAAGTCTCAATAACTAATGTAACATGACCCCTCTTTGGGCTCACTTAGGTTTAGGTTATTAGCTTAGAAAGAAAGCTTATTAGGCCCTATTACAGCTCCCACTCGCCTAACATAAGGCCTAAGCACACCTAAAAGTTTAAACAATAACAATTCGGTCCAAAACGAGGCAAGAGAAAGAAGTCGATTGTTTAAGAAATTGAAATTGAAATTGAAATTAGGTTAACAATAAAAATTTAAATATTGAAATATAAATTATAATAAACTTAAGATAATGAAATGATTAATAGTAAAATATAGAATTAAAGGTAAATAGAAACGAAATTTTTTGGCACGATATTTAGGGGCATTACAATCACCCCTCATAAAAATTTCGTCCTCGAAATTTAACAAATACGAAAACCGTTCAAACGATTACAGAAAGACGAAAGAACGAGAATTGAGAATAACTAATGCTAGGGACTAGAGTTGAACAACTCGGGGTACTTGAGTCTCATAGACTTCTCGGTTTCCCAAGCAGCTTCTTCATACTTCTGACTCCTCCACAAAACTTTCACCAACGGTACCGCCTTTCAATGCAAAATCTGGTCCTGACAATCGAGAATCTACACGGGTCGCTCCTCAAAAGTCAAGTTCGGTTCTACCTCGACCGATTCAACTCGGATCACATGAGAAGGATCACTACGATACCTTCGCAATTGCGACGCATAAAACACGTCATGAACCTTTGACAACTCCAGAGGCAAGGCTACTCGGTATGCAACCTCACCGACCCTTTCAAGCACCTCATAAGAACCAACATTCTTCGGTTTAAGCTTTCCCTTTTGACCAAAGTGCATCACTCCCTTCATCGGAGACACCTTTAACAACACCTTATCCCCAACCTCATAAGGGAAAGGTCTTCTCCGAAGATCAGCATAAGACCTTTGTCTATCTTGAGCATCTTTTAACTTAGCTCAGATCACCTTGACCTGCTCCACGGTATCCAGAATCAATTCCGGCCCCAAAACTAGAAAGTTACTAATATCGCTCCAATAAGTGGAACTACAACACTTCCTCCTATAGAGAGCTTCATACGGAGCCATCTGAATCGAGGCTTGATAACTATTGTTATACGAGAACTCCACAAGACTCAGAGACTTGACCCATGACTGTTAAAATTCCAAGGCACAGGCACGGAGCATATCCTCCAAAGTCTGAATAGTCCTCTCAATCTGACCATATGTCGGATCATGATCAGACACAATATTTTTCGGAACCCCATGAAGACGGATAATCTCATTAGCATAGGCTTCCGCTAGCTTCTCCATAGACCAAGTGTTCTTCATCGGAATAAACCGAGCCACCTTAGTCAATTGATCCACGATCACCCAAACATCATTCAATCCCCCAGCAACACTTGGCAACCCCATTACAAAGTCCATAGAAATGGAATTAAACTTCCAAGCTAGGATAGGTAGAGGCTGTAACAATCCACCAGACCTTTGATGCTTGATCTTGACCTTCTGGCACACCAAACAACGAGCCACAAACTCAGTCACTTCCTTTTTCATTCCGGGCCACCATAAACTCACTTTTAGATCCTTATAAAGCTTTCCACCCCCAAGATGAACAGAATAGGGAGTGTTATTAGCTTCCTCGGGGATCTTCTTTTTTAACCCAGCATCATCCGGCACACACCAACGACCCATAAACTTCATACTTCCATCTTCACCAATCTTGAAGTTCTCAACACAACCCTAAGCCTTAGCTTCACGGATATTTTCTAACTTCGGATCGCCCTTTTGCTTCTCTTTCAACTCTCGATACAACATGGGTTTAACACTCATCGAGTTCAAACACAAACTCACAATGCAAACCCTTGAGGGACCACCTCGATGTTGAGCTTCTGAAACTCGATACATAACTCTCGAGGCATAACCCAGGCAGCATTTAGAGAGTGTTTACCCTTCCGGCTCAACGCATCTGCCACCTTGTTAGCCTTACCTTCACGGTAATCCAGAGTCAATATCATAATCTTTTATCACCTCTAACCACCTTCTTTGCCTCATGTTCAGATCATGCTGAGTAAAGATATACTTAAGACTCTTGTGATTGGTGAACACCTTGCACGTAACACCATACAGATAATGTCGCAAGATCTAAAGAGAAAATACCATAGCAGCGAGCTCAAGATCATGAGTTGGGTAGTTCCTTTCATGAACCTTTAGCTGCCTTGAAGCATACGCAACCATCTTACCCTGTTGCATCAACAAACAACCTAGGCCATTCTTAGATGCATCAATGTACAACTCGAATTCCACACCCTCGGTCAGTAAAGTAAGCACAGGAGCTGAAGTTAGGCTCTTCTTCAAAGCTTAAAAAGCCCCTTCACATTCCTCAGACCATAGATACTAACTATCCTTCCGCATCAACTTAGTCAACGGCTGGGCAATTTTAGAGAAGTCCTTCACAGAGCATCGGTAGTAACTGGTAAGACCTAGAAAACTACGAACCTCAGAGACATTCTTGGGACTCTCCCATTTAACCAAGGACTTGATTTTCGCAAGATCAACCATCACACCTTCCTTGCTGATCACATGTCCCAGAAAAGCCACTTCTTTCAACCAGAATTCACACTTTGATAGCTTGGCATACCACTTCCAGAATCAACCTTAGATGTTTCTCATGTTCCGCCTCATCCTTTGAGTACATGAGGATGTCATCGATGAAAACGACCACAGAAATGTAGAGATACTCGTAGAATGAATGGTTCATATGATCCATGAACGCTACAGGAGCATTGGTAAGACCAAACGACATCACCTCAAATTCATAGTGCCCACATCTTGTGCGAAAAGTTATCTTAGGAATATCACTCGGCTTCACCGAAATTTGATGATACCCAGACCTTAGATCGATCTTAGAGAACACACCAGCACCCTTCAATTGATCAAACAGTTCCTCGATTCGGGGCAATGGGTACTTGTTCTTGATTGTTACCTTGTTCAGCTCTCGATAATCAATGCATAATCGCATACTCCCATCCTTCTTCTTGACAAACAGAACTGGGGCACCCCATGGGAACACGCTGGGCCTTATGAAACCCTTGTCAATGAGTTCTTGCAACTGAGTCTTCAACTCTTGCAACTCAGACTGAGCCATTCTGTAAGGTGCATTAGATATAGGAGCAGTGCCTAAAATCAAATCGATGTCGAACTCCACATCCCTTTATGGCGTAATACCAGGAAACTCTTCAGGAAACACATCTAGGAACTCTTTGACCACTAGAATACTCTCGAGTTGTTCTTTCAGAGAAAGGTCCTTGAATCTACATAAAAAGACCATGTCACCCTTCTGCTGAAGTTTTCGCATTCTGAGTGCAGACACAATCTTGACTCCCTTCTTTAACACAACCCCAAAATTAGTGACCTGGTTTCCATTAGGACCCCGCATCACAACCTTTTGATCACGACAGTGAATGGCAGCTCGATATTTGAACAACCAATCCATGTCAAGAATCACATCGAACTCTTGCATCGGAAACTCCTTGAGATCCGCTAGGAACTCGGTTCCGTAATAGCAATAGAGACACCCCTAAACTCCCTATTAAAAGCATAATTCTCCTTATCTGGTAAAGAAATTAAAGATTTTACAGGAGTGCTATCTGACAATTTAGTTTTCTTAATGAAAGTGATAGATACAAAGGAAACAGTTGCACAACAATCAAATAGCAAATGAGTAGGGCACACCATGGACTAGAAATGTACTAGTCACGACGTCGCGATGGATGTCGTCCACCTCTTGTTTCATGACATAAATCCAGTTCTAAGGAGGCACAGATGAGGTAGCAGGTCTAGTAGAACCTGCCGCACTATTGTTGGCCTTCTTTGGACACTCAAAGGCTTTGTGCCCATCCACCATGCAATAGTAGCACGTTATCTTCATTTCATCATAGTTTTTTTCCCGGATGTAGGTCACCCTTGCACCTCCAACACTTTCTCGGGTCATTATTAGGGCAAGACCCAGATCCTTGCTGGAAACCGGCTTTTCCCGTAGCATCAAACCTCGAATCCTATAATCAAGTGGGGGTGTATGTAATACCCCTCATAGTTGCTTTAAAAGGATTTAATTTACTACTCATACCAACAAGATGCATCTTTCTTTTAGGGAGCTCATATGCTAAGATACTTCCCAGTTAAGCGTGCTTGGCAGGGAGTAGTCTTAGGGTAGGTGACCTCTTGGAAAGATTTCCCAAGGTGCGCATGAGTGAGGACAAAATGCCCCGGAAGGACTTGTGTTGGTCTGTGAGGACAGTTGTTGGCCCTTGATGCGCATTTCGTGATAATAGGTCCCTTCGTAATTTGTTTGGGGTCAAGGTGTTACAGTTCCGAGATACGGATTGTCGTTTCATCGTGGCAACATTTCCTATGGTGTATTGTTACGTGGCATTGACAACTTTCCTTGAACTGGATTGTCGCTCATCATTCAAGATTTGTGTTGACAACTGTTCTTAAAAGTGGATTGTCATCACCCCAGATACGCGTTTCTTTCCCCTTAACTCCTTTGTTTGTAGAACTGACGTTTTCTGCAGGTATCAGCGTTAAATAGGATGATTTAGGATCGCGGAACGTTCTGAATCATTTTTTCCGTCCCTAACGTGTGTATTGTTTTAATAGCAAAAAGGCTAAGGCATCAATTCACTACAAGAAAACAGCTGAATTCTGAAGGACTTTTTCCGTCGGAAACAGGGGAAAATCCGTCAAAAAACGGCATACCGACAGAATTCCGTCGGAAACGGTCTCTCGGAATAGCCCTTGTCGGAAATTCGACGTTTTCCGAGGGAAATTCCGTCGGAAGCCACTTTCCTGACGGAATTTCTGACGGAATACATTCTGTCGAAGCTGGTTTTGACTTTAACCGAAATTCCGTCGCAAAGTTCCGACCGAATTTTCCGTCGGAGCTGAAGTGGATTCTAACGGAATATTCCGTCGGAAGGGTAATATTTCGACGAAATATTCCGTCGAAAGGGTAATATTCCGACGGAATATTCCGTCGGAAGGGTAATATTCCAACGGAATATTCTGTCGGAAGGGGAACATTCCGACAGAAATTTCCGTCGGAAAAATTGAATAAAAAAAAATAAAAAAAAGGCCACCCCACACTAGCCCCCTGCCACCAGCATACACCACCAGCGCGCCCCCCTACCACCGGCCTACACCACCTGCCCCCCTACCACCTTAACCGACCTCACCTGACCCATCACCAGCCCACCCCACACCAGCCCCCTACCACCTGCCCCCCCCCCTCACCTAACCCACCACCAGCCCATGCCACTAGCCTTCTACCACCAGCCCACCCCACACCAGCCCCCTACCACCAGCCCACACCCACCTGACCCATCGCCTTCCCCACCTCACCGAAACCCATAACCCCACCTACCACCTTAACCCACTGCCCCCATCCCCCAGCCCACCTCCCCACCTCACCGAAACCCACAACCCCACCTACCACCTTAACCCACTGCCCCCATCGCCCAGCCCCTCTACCACCTCACCAGACCCACCCACCCACCTCCCCATCTACCACCTTAACCCACCTCCCCACACAAAAACCCACCTAACCAAAACCACCCAAAAGAACACCGAAACCCACCTCACCACCACTGAAACACAAAAAAAAAAAAACATAAAAAACATCCATACTTCACCAACACCATATATTGCAAAAAAAACTAGAAAATTCAACAAATTAATTAAAATCAAAATTTCGAAGAAAAAAAAGAGAAACATACCTTAATTTGAAAAAATAAAAACGTCGAAATTGGGTTTATAAGATCTAGAGTTTTCATGGTCGAATTTGACATGAAAAC